AAAATAAATATTAAAAATTCTCTTTCCCCCCCCCTCTCTCTCTTTAAAAAAAAAAAAAGAAAAGAAATCACCAAACTTCTATAATTCTGCCTTACTTGTCTGGTCTTCCCTAAAAAAAATGTATCCACCCTGCTTCCTAAACCATCCCCAGTATCTCAAAGTGCCTCACACTGGAATATGAATTTAAATATTATGGCAAACCTATTTCAAAAATAAATAATACCTGAAATACAGTCCAGGTCAAATAAGACAATAAATACAGGGCTTATGTACAGGAAACATCTCTTTGTAACTACAAAATTTACATCTTAATATTTACCATTAATTGAATTCAATGTATACAGGTAGAAAATAACCACTGCCTTTAACTTCCATAAAGAAACCCCAGGGGCTGGGGTTGTGGCTCAGTAGTAGAGCACTTGCCTAGCGCATGTATGAGGCACCGGGTTTAATCCTAAGCACCAAATATAAGTAAATAAAAAATAAAGGTACATCAACAACTAAAAAATATTTAAAAAGAAAGGAAGGAAGGAAGGAAAGAAATTCCAGCACTCTGTAACTTTAAAACAAAATGGTTCAATAATATTTTAACAATTGGAAAACAGAATTTTAAATTATTACTGAAAATGTAAGAAACATGGGGGGGGGGGAGACATAAACAACATCATCATCTTAAAAAAAAAGAAAATATCACAAAGTTTATAGTTTAGAAAAGTGATCTGAGGATGTGTGAACTTACTCCTATTTATTTACTTATTTTTAGTGCTGAGGATTGAGCTCAAGCCCTCATGCATGTTAAACAAGCACTCTACCACTGAACTAATTATTGCTCATCTTTTTTATTTAAAACAGGGTTTCTGAGTTGCCCAAGGTGGCCTTGAACTTGCAATCCTCCTTCCTCAGTCACCCAAGGAGCTGGTATTACTAGGATACACTGTCATGCTCATCTTGCTTATTAAAGAAGAGTTTCCTATATATAATTCTCTGAAGATGCACATGCAGAATCAAGCAAATATCAGGACTAAGGTAATTATTAAGCTACTTTTTATATTGTTGTACTATCTACAGTTCAAAAAAATAATTTTGAATTTCAGAAAGAAATCATTCTCCCTTGGCTGGGGTTGTAGCTCATTGGTAGAGTACTTGCATGGTGATGCCTGTAGATTTGATTCCCATTATGTAAGTTAAAGTCTCTGGGTACTTGTAAATAGCACTAGGTAGGTCTTAACTGATGAGACAGTTACGGCAACAGAGCGACTTAGAATGTTTTTTACAATCAGTTAATTGACAGTGTAAAATTACTGTAAATGATAATGTGTACAGATATTCAATTGTAAACTTGTTAAACTGTTGTGTTTTCATTGCTTTTGTATGGAATGATGCTGCAAAAATAAAAAGGAAAAAACTCTTTTAACAGAAAAAAAAAAAAAAAAAGATTTGATTCCCAGAGGCAGAAAGGCGCAAACAAAGAAAGAAATCAGAGTACACACCATTATCCACCAGTACATACATAAGCATTTTTTGTGTGATACAATGCTCTTTAGCCCTTAACTTTTTTCCCCTTACTGTTCTTCACCATTAACTATCTCCCTTCTTAGGTTTTTTCAATTCTTCCTCTTCCTTTCTCAGGCCTTAATGTTACGAATTAGTACCCCATGCATCCCTGAATACTGTCCTATTGTTGAATATCCAGCTTATACCCATGTATACCACCACTTATGACCATAGTCCTACCATTAAGAAAAGCACAGAACCAAAGGAACGTGGCTGGGCTGTAGTATAAGTAATAGTACAATGACACCTATCATGACCTATTTGAGTCAAAATTACCTTTGATTAAAAAACAGGTTAAGGAACAGTTTATAGTACTAGGATATTTTCTAATAGCAATTCATGTCTCCTTATTTTCCCATACGAAACTAATTTTCAAACTATCTGGAACTTTAGAATACTCATTAGCTTTAGGGAGCATGCAAAGACCACAAAAACAAAACAATATAAAAACCACATCTGAACACCATGTGCACAGAAGATAATAAAATCGAGACTATTCTCAATTATCTATACTGGCTAATCATCATTGCTCTTCCTATGGAACACAACCTACATTTCACACATTTTTCAGTTCCACAAACATTTCAGTTCCTACTTCTTACGGGACA